TTTCGCCCATTGAATGAAAGTATTGGAGGCCTCACCAACCGTTGTAACCTCATCTGTGGGCACTGGTACTTTAGCATTTTCATATATCACCTTGGTAACAACCACTCTCACCATATCATTATTCAACACCTGATTGTGTATATTATGCCCCAACTTATACACATTAGCATATGCCACTAAATGAGTGTTTCCATCAACATACAATTCACATTCTTCAGGAATATCCTCTTGATCATCATTTGGCATATGTGACACCCTTGAACAACTACCCTTTGTGCTTGCATATTGTAAATTGGTATTAGGAGAACAAACATGGTCATTTGGGTATTTATGAGAAAAAGCTGGCAAAGATGATATATCCTGCATCACTTGCTCTCTAATCTCCTTAGTAAGCTCGACCATTATGGTCTCTATTTGGTCGTTATTCAAAATAGGCGGGGTACTAAAATGTTTACGAGAATGGGATCCAAAGAATTGTCGAATCCCCACGCCTCGACCAACAACACGAACACGACCAGGGTGCTCACCTCGCCCTGTGGCTTCTGTCAAAATATATTGTCGTCCTTGTGGGATAAAGTTCCCTTCCGACACCAGAGTATCCTACAAATATCATCAAAAGAAGTTCAAAAAATAGTAAAAACTAATATGTCGGTGCATTAATTCTTTTTTCCACCGCATAGAACAGTGGAGCCAAATATTCTCTCATAAACATAAACATGCAAAATTTATTGATACACAGTACAAAATCATAATTTATTGGATATTTAAGAATCATTTATGTAGCTTACAAAATAATCACAACAATAACATGGTTTAAGACGTTAATTGTACAATGATTGGACTCTTGACATTATGGGTGCCATTTGACCAAACAAGTGAGGACGAAAACACAGTTTGAGTTGATCCTACACTCCCAACAACTGTGACAACAGATGATTGTTTCTCATTTAATGATTTGAATGAGAGAATATTTGGCTCCACTATAATCTTGACATTTGGAATTGGAGTGACAGTAGCCTTGTAGGTTGATAGATAATGACAATAGTAATTCAAAATAAAGATGATGAGGTACTACTTTTACTGTATACATAACCCATACAGAATCTCTGTCACTACACTATTTGCATATTATATTTATTGTTTAGAAGCAAAGATGTCGCCGATACAGTGACATTGGCAAGTTATTGGTGAATATGAAATAGACGTGAAAAATAAACAAATAGTGAACTTGACTTCTATTACCTAGTTTACCGGATCTCTGTCACTACACTACTTACATATCTTCAACAACCATACACCCGTATCAACCAAGAAATGATATAATTCAATGATCAAAAAAGTATATAGAACCAATTCACCAATTACTTTAATAAAATAATTTGCCTTTTTTTATTTATCTATATTAAAATCAAAGACATTAGTAGACTTTTCACCTTCCAAACGCGTCATTAAGTCTAATGGAAACGTGCGTTTTGGTTTTGCCATTTCCAATTAGTCTCTATATATAATGGTACAGTAACAGTAGGGAAACTGGACCGGTGAGGATGCATGCAACTCCGCATGGCACGGAGTTGAATGCTTCCCAAACGGAAGAGTTGTAACCGTAAAAAAATGATGTTTTGTCACCATGTCAGAGTTGTAAAAGTAAATATGCATATGTTGAATTGAAATGATGCATACCAAAACAAAGTAACACTACTTACAATTTTTTCTGCAACAAGATGTGTGTCTTCTGATGTATACTCTCCTGATGGTTTTAGTCTGGATCTCTTCCACTTCTCATGTCGCTGTGGTGGAGATGGAGGTGGAACCTCTGACTTTTCAGCTGCTGCTTGTCTTTCTTTTAACTTATCTGCCATCATATTTTTCTCAAGCAAAGCATATCCCCCTTGGGACAACCTATGGGGATATTTATTATAAGACTGAGTCTCTTGTTCCTTCTTTATTTTCTCCTATTATATTGCACGTTGATTCATTAAGTTGTACTAAAAATAAGTTGATTCATTAACTAAATAATAAAGCCAACTAACCGGAAAGGAAGGGTCCTCTCGCGATTTAACAAAATCCTTCCACGTTTCTTCATCAATATAAGGGTAATCATCAGTGGCAGACATTCCACTCTTAATTCCATTATTTAAATATCTACTTGTTAAGCTGTTTTTAAAGGACCTCCAACACTCACCCGCATATATCATTGTTTTCTTATCAACAATATCATTTTTAGAAATGTCCCATATTTGCTATGTTACACAACAAATAAAAGAGTTAGTACATATCAAAATATTAAAGTTATGTATAATTGTGACAAATGCAATTAAAATTACCTCAAGCCCTTTCCAAATTTCTTTCCTGTCTTCACTACCAACCTTATCCCATTCATCAATCAGAATACTGATTTTCTCTCGAGCGAGACAAACAACATGATACTTGAAATCTTTTGCAAGTTCCCCTATAGGATGTCCATCTAAATTGAAATCAATTGGTATTCTCTCATCCCTTGCAGTCAAAAGTTGCAACTTTTTCATCCTGGTGCAACCTCTTACTTTTGTTTTGGTTGATAGAGTATTCAACCCACTTTGCGAAGGAGCTAATGCATCACCCATGTGTCTGTTTAGAGAAAAAAACATAATAATTCAAGCTCAATAATATGAAATATATGAAATATATGAAATTATATGACAAAAATATTGTACATGAGACAATAAAAAAAATACTTAAAATCTACATATTTAGATAAAAATTTACCATTTCTATTCTAATTGTGTATTGTTTGAATATTTTCCCATATCCCTTCTTGATGATCTTCACGAGTGGCATACACCTCATCACCAATAGTATCTTCAACTAAAGTTGGCACTCGTTGAGAAAAAGAAGGAGTCTCATAAATATCTAGCGTTGCATGCTCATTATCATTAGGGTTGTGGTTGCTTTTACCTTGGAGAACCACTGACCATTTTTTGTTAGAAGGGTCCCTAACATAAAACACTTGTTTTCCTTGAGATGCCATAATAAAAGGTTCATCCATATAGGCTACTTTTTCAAGGTCCACCAATGTAAAACCAAATTCATCAGTCTTAACACTATTTTTTGTGTCAACCCATTTACATTTAAATAGAGGTACTTTAAATGTAATGAAATTGATATCCCAAATCTCTTCTATGACCCCATAGTAAGCTATTGATGCCATAACATGATTTTTATCTTTTGAACTAGAGAAGTGCATGGACTCAGCTACAACCATAACCCCACTATTTTGCACACTACTAGTGTCATCTTGGGTCTTTGTATAAAATGTAAAGTTATTTATATCATAGCCAGTCCAAGTTATGACATCAAATTTAGGCGCCCTTGCTAGACATTTCAATGTTTCAGAACATGTATTATCAGCTAAAATGGTTTTTTTAAACCACTTTAAAAAAGTCTTGTTATGCTCATTCAACACCCATTTTTCATTCATTCGAGGAAATGTTTCCTTGACAATGTTTTTGTGAGCAGAAATGTAAGGTTGGACTTCATCAGTATTATTCAATATATACATTTGTGCTCGAAGTACTTCCACTCAGGCTATGCTCTTAAGTTTTAAGCCTCGAATACCTTCACATCTTCCACCATGACGAGACTTAGGAACTCCTATAGCATCTGCTTCAGACATGTATTCAGAGCAAAACTCAATAGCTTCTTCTGCGATGTATCTCTCAATAATAGATGCTTCAGGACGACATTGATTCTTCACATACCCTTTTAAGATCTTCATGTATCGCTCAACTGGATACATCCACCTCAAATATACAGGACCACACAATCTAATCTCCCTCACTAGATGAATAATTAGGTGCACCATGATATCAAAAAAAAAGAAGGGGGAAAATACATCTCCAGTTGGCATAAGATAACAACAGCTTCATTTTATAACTTATCTAATTTTTTAGGATCAATGACTTTGCTACAAATAGCATTGAAGAATAAGCAAAGCCTAGTTAAGACAACTCTAACCTTTTTAGGCAATATGCCACGAATAGCAACTGGTAGTAGTTGTTGCATCAATACGTGACAATCATGAGACTTTAGGCTAACCGATTTCAAATCTTTCATTGAGACAAGACTCTTTATATTTGAAGAGTAACCATGAGGCACTTTTATGCTACGTAGACACTCACAAAAGCTTATCTTCTCATTTTTTGACAAAGTATGACAAGCTGGAGGCAAATATGTCTGCTTACCAACTGATTGTTGAGCTAACTGTTGTCGTATACCCATCTCAACCATATCTAAACGAGCATTTGCATTATCCTTTGTTTTTCCATGAATGTTGAGAAGTGTTTCGATTACACTATCACACACATTTTTCTCCACATGCATCACATCAATACAATGTTTAACATCTAAATTGCACCAGTAAGGTAGATCAAAGAACACCGACCTCTTCTTCCATATATTTGTATGAGTGGTTTGTTTTTGGTTCTTTCCAAATAGAACATTGACATCCTTCACCCATCCATAAACTTCCTTTCCAGTTAATGCTCTTGGAGCAATTCCATTCTCCTGGTCTCCATTAAACGCTTTTCTCAATCTACGATATAGGTGATTAGGTTTAAGAAATCTCTGATGCCCAAGGTACACTTTCTTCTTTCCATGTTTTAATTGTTGGAAGCATGTGTTCTCTTCACATATAGGACACGCCTTATGTCCTTTAACACTATAACCGCACAAGTTCCCATATGCGGGAAAATCATTGATAGTGCAAAATAACATTGCACGCATCTTGAAGTTCTTGTGGGAATAGCCATCAAACACATCAACACCTTCCTCCCAGAGCATTCTCAAATCCTCAATCAAAGGACTTAGATAAACATCTATATCATTTCTTGGCTGCCTTGGGCCCGAAATCATCATGGATAACATAATATATTTTCGTTTCATACAAATTGAAGGAGACAAATTGTAGATGATTAATAGAACAGGCCATGAACTATGATTACTACTTAAGTTTCCATATGGATTCATTCCATCAGTAGCAAGTGCAAGCCTAAGGTTTCTTGCCTCATTACCGAAATCCGGATAAAATCATCAATTTTCTTCCATTGCAAAGAATCAGCTGGATGACGAAGTTGTCCATCACGTTCTCTCTCAATCGCATGCCATATAATATTCTTTGCATCTTTTGAATTAGCGAATAATCTTTTGAAACTTGGAATTATTGGAAGATACCACAACACCTTTGCAGGAAGACGCTTTGTGTTTTCATCACTATTCAAATCACCATCTTTCACTTTAAAATGTGATTGCCCGCATGTGGGACACTCCTTCAACTCTTCATACTCATTTCGGTATAATATGCAATCATTAGGACATGTGTGTATTTTCTTGTACTCCATACCCATCAAACACAATATCTTTTTTGCCTCGTAATTACGATTTGGCAATCTATTTCCTTCAGGAAGCATTTCACACAACAACTCAAGTAGTTCGGTAAAACTTTTATCCGTCCATCCATTTCTTGCCTTCAAGTTGAACAATCTCAACACTGCATATAACCGTGTGAAGTTAGTGCCTCCCGAATACAATGACTCTTCATTGTCACTGCACAAAGTATCGTACATATGAGCATGCTGAAAAGACTCGGGTCCAATAGCATTGATCATGTCCTCTAGCCGATTGTCCATATCTACGTCAACTACCTCTCTTTCTGACACACTTGACGTATTGTTTGACGGTTCACCGTGCCATATCCAATTGGTATAACTTTGGCAAATGCCCTCACAAACAAGATGATTTTGTATTTCATCTATTAAAAGTGGCGACTCTCTATTCAAACAATTAACACATGGACAATAAAACTTATTATTATTAGGAAGTTTTGCACAAGCATATTGAAAAAATGCTTCCATTCCTTTATCGTATTCTGCACCTAAACGATTAGCTTTCATCCAACTACGATCCATGACTATTTCTGAAAAAAATAATCATTTCTTAGAAAAACAATGATTATTGGTAAAACAATGAGAACTCTGATGCCTCAATTAAATCATTGTGTGGTAGCAATATTAAAAATAATTAAAGAATGCAAAAGAAAAAAATGGGAAGAAGTAAGGTACAACTAAAAATAATTAAAGAACGCAAAAGAATGTAATTTTGGCTGTACTGTTTCATTGAAACAGCATGGAGCAGATACTGGAACGCCATGAAAGGTATGGCTATGCAGAGAAACTACTAGTAGCAAGTGATTCATTGAAGCATTTACACCTCTTATTAACAAACTTTATGTCGACACAAAAAAAAAACAGTACGCAAATGTCATGACCAAAAAACAACCATGTCCAATGTAGTAAGCATAATTAACTTACCTCTCCAAAGAAGATGATAATCCAAGTTGTTGATGGTATTTACTTGATTGAAGATACAAACATAAGTGATTGAATTCTTGCAGTTATGCCTGTATTAATTGAGAAGTTTCTTTGTTAGATATTGTGTCAAATATAGTTCTATGTATATTATGTACTGATTATTTAGAGGCTCTTTTCCATCAACTTTGTAGTTTTTCCATCTTCCTACCATGTTTGATTTCCAGCAGCAATTATAATTTCTATAGTTCTATAGATTATGAAAACACAATTGTTTTCTAACAGCATGTTAGTTTATTAGAAATTCATGCTAAATGCATAGTTATTGAGTTTGATAGAAAACATAATCAAAGCAACCTCATTCAGGCTACTCCATTGACATGTTAGTGGTTACAAATTACCTGTACATGATACCTTTAATGCTAGTGTATACATTACCAAAGTATATAGATAAAATCCATGTCACTCCAACAAAAACAGACTCATAAATTACATTAGATATACATTGACAAGTATGGTCCACAAATTGCCTATAGTGGAAATTTTCATGATAGTTAAATTTGGATTTTGCAAATCAACATAGTAAATTTACAAAAAGTAGCCCATAATGTATCTTATAGTGCAGAAAATGTAGCATAGGTTCACACTACAATTTACATTTAAATTATATATGTATTATTAGATTTTAAAGTTGGTGGAAGTTCAATGCAATAAGTTAAGTTATTAACAAAGTGTTACAACATAGGAAGTTTGTAATGAAACAATCAGTTTACTAGTAATGACACACACAAGCAGCATATAACAGTAGAAAAACAATAGATTTTAGTTGAAAGGTAATATCTCTTTCTGCTAGCATTAAATACAAAGTGTGACTAATACTCTATTATGCCAATATCCCAAAAAATTTGGCCCTTGAAAAAAGTAATACTAGACAACAAAAACAACTATTAATTGTGATATTCATAAATATAAATACAAATAAATATAAAGTTGCATATTTTATAATAATATTATAACATCCTAGGTCTACCAATGTTGGGTTTAAGGAGTTTATCATGTAAGTTTGCTTGCTGGTATTTTTATATGTTAAATGAAGATTACTACCAAAAGCATGAGCCATTTAGCATAATAGGACAGTTCTATTAGTCAGTTATTTTCTATTTAGTAAATTACCATAAAAGACATAAGTGTAATTTAAATTTGATTAAAGGGTATTTTAAGGTGTTAATGAGCATGCTTCATTATTAGTTATGTAGTTGATTATGTTATGTAATTGATTTTGAAAACAGAATCCTGGCCAAAAGTGAGTTGAATCTTAACTCTTAAAGCCATTTTTTTAAATAATACTATACAGAGAGTCCTTATACTATACAGTTGCTAATACTATACATAGAGGATAGTCCTTATACAAAGAGGGCAACAGTTGCTAGTATATTCTTTTGTTGTAAGTCAACAGTTGCTAATGCTAATACTATACAGAGAGGATAGTCCTTTCCAAACTTGTTTATTTGCAGTTGCCACAACTGAGAATTAAGAATTCATTTGTGAGTTGTCAAAATCCAGCTAAATCTGTAAGTCATTCTACCAAGGAAATCCTTGATATTGCTCAAATTCAGATGGTTATTCCAGTCTATCTACAAGGTAATACCCCTAATACCAAACCTGCTAAAAGGGAAGTTGAAAATATTGCTGAAAATTGTTTAGAGATTGAAAATACCCGCATCACAAACCTTATAGCTCATTCATGCTTGTGATGAGCCCCATAGGGAAGATAACATGGATAATATTTTGAATAATAATCCTAAAGAAGCCCCTAATGTTATTATTCCAGTCATATATACCTTCTTAGATGACATTCTTAATGACTATCACGTGGATACTCACGACTCTAGTGATGAGAAAAATCCATCAAGTCATGGGAATGATGAGAATGATATTGTGAACAATGATATTAACATACCTCATTCAAATGATGAAAAGCCCTAAGATTATATTATTATTTTTCCTACTCTTATACCATGTATTTTGATTAATCAGAGTCTCAATATTATAATTAGTAAAGATGGCAGTGGTGTCTATGCTAGTCCACTAAAATTCAGTTACCGCATTTTTGTCGGCACACATGTTCCAAACATGTCTCTCCCCAACAATCATTTTGATTTGACCATATATTTCAGGATTTCACTGAGTATACTAACTTGGAAGAATGCATCACATACTTGACTGAATACATCATAGCCAATGGTCCCTTTGATGGATTTCTTGGGTTCTCACAGGGTGCAACACTTTCAGCACTTTTAATAGGTTATCAGGCACAGGGAAATTGCTAAAGGAGCATCCACCTATAAAGTTTTTTGTATCAATATCAGGATCTAAGTTTAGAGATCATAGCATATGTGATGTTGCATATAAGGATGTTATCAAAGCTAAATCGGTTCATTTTAACAACAACATTTCATCTTAGAAAACCTATACCAAACTATACCAGTTAGAAAACCACTTATACCAGTTAGAAAACCTATACCAGTTATACCAAACTATACCAGTTAGAAAACCAATTATACCAGTTAGAAAACCTATACCAGTTATACCAAACTATACCAGTTAGAAAACCTATACCAACAACATTTTAACAACAACATTTCATATCAAAGCTATACCAGTTAGAAAACCTATCCAAACTAAAATTCAAATCAATTCCATCTTCAATTTAACAACAATATTTCATCAATACTCCATCAAACATTCAAAAAAACTGAACCACCATACATGAATAATCATGAAAACATACCTAATCTGCAGAGTTCAAAGCCTTTGCTAGTATCACCAAAACCTCCAACAATTTTTCCACAAGTACCTGCTTCAAATTTGAAAACACGAAATACTCTTTACAATGTATTCATTGAAATTTCAAAACCTAACATTTCAAAACGCAGAGAGAAGAGAGAACCTGGAGAAAAAAGAGTGAGTATGGTGATGGTGGTAGAAGAAGTTGTGGTGAAAAATTTTGTTATCAAGAACTTAGAAAGACAAAATGCATACCTCAAAATGCAGAGAGAAGAAGTTGTACGTGGTGAAAATTTTCGTTATCCAGAACTTAGAAAGACAAAGTCACTGCGTGCAGAACCTATAAGAAATTATTTTAATTAAAATTTATTAACTAAACTTTATTTTAATATATATAATATATTTTCGATAAATGTACTATAAATGTTAGCTAGCTTGGTGGTAAACTTACGTTTTTGGGAGGCTAAGGTCATCTGTTCGATTCATCATATCAACATAAATGATATTATAATTGTTTTATTTCACTAGAATGTATTAAGTGAGAATTGAACCGGAGTCTTGTAAGACCCTCTTAGGCCACGTAATAAATACGTGACTTAATAAATAAATTTCTCAAGTCATTTCAGTAAAAGAACCGACTTAAGAAATTTAATGTAAATTATATTTTTTTAATTAATCTTTGTAAGTCGGTTAAACATAGATACAACATAACAATGTTAAAATATTTACGAAATTGCCACCACATCACTTCTTAAGTCAGGTGGCAGGTGAACTGACTTAACAGCCTCTACTATAAAGTATTTTTTTCTACTAGTGATAGTATCAATAATTGTGCCACTTACATCACTTAGATGAAAGAAACGTTTTTAGGCCATGATAAGAGAAGGACTCCAACTTGAATTTTGAATCAACAAGTGTGCCACTTACATCACTTATATGTACAAAAGTCTTTTAATGTTTGATTTTGAACTGTGGTGTATAGAAGAGATATCTTCCTCCTTGTATGAAGCCTAAGAGGAGGCTGCTGATGAAGCTGACTTCATCCAAGGGGAACTAGGGTTTGGACTAAGTTGTAGTTTAGGGAACCCTAATGTTAAGCCAAGTTTAAACTAGGGATGAAGTGTTTGTAAATGTCAAGAGAAACTTAACATGAACAAGTATATGACAAGAATTGAAAGTGGAGGGTCTTAGATTCTTATAGAGGCCCATGTCTAAACATGGTTGACTTGAAAAATTTGTGGGTCTTATACTCTTATAGAGGCCTAAAATGTTTGAATTTTGAATTCCATTAAGGCTTTGTTTCATGAAAGTTGAAGATTGAGTTTTAAAAGATTGAGTGTTTTGAGAAATTAAAGAAAGCTTTGAGGATAAGGGTAGGGTCTTATACTCTAACAGAGGCCCAAAAGGTTTTCTGGAAATGTAATGGGTCTTACACTCTAACAGAGGCCCAAAAGGTTTAAAAAATGTAATAGGTCTTACACTCTAACATAGGCTCAAAAGGTTTTGAAAATGTAATGAGTCTTACACTCTAATAGAGGCCCAAAAGGTTTTGAAAATGAAATGTACTGTGCATCAAACAAAGAGATATATTCATCATGGTATGAGTTTATGAAGGAAATACTTGAACATTGTAAGCAAAGATTTAATCCACGGGAGCAATTATAGAGAAGTTCAAGCAAGTATGTGCATTCAAGATGAATCGAGGATCAAATGAACATAGTAAGGGTAACAATAAAGCATACTTGAACAAAAAGGAGATGTTCATGACAATAACATGTAGATGAAGGTGTAGACATACAATAAATGTCATGTGA